GTAATTGCCCCTTTAATTTTTACCGTTTTAATTTTTCACTTTTTTCATTTTTTTAATTCTATCAAATAAAACTAGATCCATTTCATATCTTTATTCATTAATTAGTTTAAATTTTATATTAAAACTTTTGTATGAAAAAAAGATTATGGTGTTTTAATTTAAAAAAAAAATAGATATCCGTGAAGATCCGGATATCCGCAAATATCTAGAAAAAATCCGGATATCCGTAATCCCGGATATCCAAAAAATTTCGAAGCAAAGCAAATCGGAAAATTAGATATCAGTCAAAAACAAATCGAATTACAAATACTGCATTTTTTCGGATATCTGATCCGGGTGTAGGTCTAATAAACGGTATGGTGATTGTCCCGTGAGATAAACCATTTTGAATATATCTGATTTGGAAGAGAGCATCGGACTATAACCTCTAAGTTATTAGTTACATTTTTTGTATAACTCGTATTACTAGCAAAGCAAAGCAACGTATGTACGGACCTTGGCATGCTTTGGCTCGGTCGTGTCGAGGTAAACTCCTACACGAACACCGCCGTAGAACCCGAGGCTAGGTCGGAAATCGCCAATAAGAACATCTCTTTTATCAACAAGATCCATGTCGAAAAGATGGCTAAAAGATTTGACGTCGAGGACGGCTACGATATTAGGGTTAACGTTGCCAAAGAAAGGAAACGCTGGAGGAATGTTTGTACGGAACACAGTGCTCTTGTACTTCTCAACCCTTGTCCGAAAAAACTTCTCCGGTCCTTGGAACCAAAAGTAATCTAAACGGTCCGATAACGGTCCAACCACCGGCCAACCGTACGTTCCCGGCATTGCACGGAGGGGAAGTTGCGACGGCGACGATGACGGGGGTTGTGATGATAGGGACGTTGACGGTGGTGGAGGTGGAGAAGCAGCCGCCATTGATCTCACGAACATCTTTTTGAGCTAATTAGAAACTTCTTATGGGAATGTGTGATAAATTAAATATCGATTGGCAATCATATGTAGGTGATATTTTGCAGAAGATGACATCTATCGATAGAGATCAGTTTTTGTGTGTAGCACTTCTTTGCATGCTCTAGCTACCACATGTTTGAAGTTGTTACAACATTATCATAAAAAATCTTGGTAACTTTTTGTGTGAACTGAAATTAAAAACCGAGAAACACATGTTCGAGGTATTGTTAACCACCACCGCACTTGATGTTTACGTAGATGACAAAATTTCAATGTGATGTGAAGAAACATATGATAACGACATGTTAATTATATGATCAACATTAATTATATGAACTATATATGAACAGTTATTGGAACCTTAGAGTGAAACAACGTATTAAAATTGGATTCTTTTTTTGAAGTCTACAGTTCATCTACAAAAGATATATTTGTTCGAATTGTAACGAATTCTATTTGGATGAGCATGATCTACCATTCGTTATATGGCATACCAATCAAATACAAAAACATAAAAAGCGTTTGTTCTATTCAACTATTTGATAATTTCACTATTCATATTTGTATATCTATCAAGTTTTAATACGTTGTTTCACTTTTAAACACTGTTTCTACATAGAGTAGAGTTTTAATACGGAGATTTGTATAGTGTTTTGGAGAGCATACCGAGAAAGTTTCTACATAGAGTGTTTTGGAACAGATAAACCGGGATAATGTATAGTAAAAAAACTGGTTCAGTCTCTTGGGGAGTTTGGTTTAGTACTACCAGTGTTAAACCGGGGCTTGCATCATGGTCCCATGTTAGAAATGACTCTACAGGAAATGACAAATTTGTATAGTAACACCAAGAATTGAGGTCCCGAAAACAATAAATGCGATCCAATGCCAACTTTATAACAACTTCAAGGCACCTTGCATAATTGAGCACAACAAATGCATGGGCATGAAATCATTGAGCATATATATATATACTTCCTCTATATTATATATGGAAAAATCATTTTTAACTACACCAATTATTGGTTAATATGTTGTAAACCATCTCAAATATAAAAATGTCATATAAACTACACAAACTTTTAGGTAACACATAGATACACCAAGTATACGTAAAAATGTTAAAAACAACAAATTGATTTTTTCATAAATATTTATCAATTTGGGGGGTCAATTTTTCATTATTTTTATTAAAAATCCAAAAAAATTTAAAACTTACAAAATTTAACAAATCAAAAGAAAATCCATAAAATTTCAAAAATTTAAGGAAAAAATAATAATTAAATTCTAGATAAAATTTGAAATTATAGTTTCAATTATAAATGTTAAAGAAAATGTAAATTTGTAAAATCTTAAAGTTTCTAAAATTACAAAATTCAAAAACAACAAAATAATTCCAAACAATCTATAATTTACAAACACACATAATTTGAAGTTTAATATAAATATTTAATAGAATTATATTTTCGGAAATTAAATTAATTTTTTTAAATTACCAATATTTATAATAATAAAAAATTACAAAAAAACTGTAAAAATAAAATTTTGTTTTTAAGAAAACAACAATGTATACGTAGATAGAAGTTAGATTATACTTGCAATTTTGAATTTCAAAATTAATGTTGGGATAGTACCGAAAACACCATTAAAATTTTTTCCTAAAGAAAAATATAATATATGTCTTGTATGTATTTCATTCTAAATTATTGAAAGTTATTTAACATAATTTAAACTATATTTGTTGACCAACATTTTAAAATTTTTATTTATTTTTGTCTTACAAATTAATTGGTTACAAAATATATAAAGTTGGAACTCAATATACTTACATTTTCAATTATCTTTTAGAGATTAATAAATTTTTGTAATTTAAAAACCTTTGGGATTTTACAAATTTAACTTTTATATAAAATTAAAACTGAAACTATAATTTTAAATTTTATCTAAAATTTAATTATTACTTTTTTCTTAAATTTTTGAAATTTTATGATTTCTTTTCTATTTGTTAAGTTTTGTATATTTTTAATTATTTGGATTTTTTAAAAGTAACGTTTAAAAAAAAAATCTAAATTGACCTTTAAATTGATAAATATTTTGTAGTTTTTAACATGTTTATATATATTTGGTGTATGTCACCATGTAATACATAATCCTCTATATATTAATTAAGGAGACACTAGAGAAAAAATCAGAGGTGTCGATCAATAAGCAATTTAAGGAACACATCATTTAATTTAACCAATCAAAACATTTCAATTAAAAGTATGTGCTATGGTAGAAGTTCTCTACATCTTCTTAGTAATTTTTAACATAAACTCATTTATACATATATAACTACACTTACAAATATTTATGCATTTCATTATTGGAAAATATAGATATATTTTTTTTATGTCCGACAAATTTATATGATATTTATCCCATATAATTTACATGAATAATAAAAATCAATTTTACACTTAAGATATATTAAAATAAATAATATTTGCATATGTTTTGATCAATTTTATACATAAAATTATTAAAACTAATGACATCGAAATATGCTTGATCAAAAATCAACTTTATTAGATTTATGCACAATACATATTATTTTTGTATGTTTATAAATATTAGAAATCATATATTTTGTCATACACATTTAAATACTAAAATCGATAAAAAACAAGAAAACACAGTTTTACGGTCGGTAAAATTCGATGCTAAATCGACGCTAAAGGCGTTTAGCATCGTTTTTGCGTCGAATCACATTTCGACGCTAAACTGTCGACACTAAACTAAATTTGAAGCTAATTTAGCGTCGGAATATCTTCGACGCTAAGTCGATGTATATTTCGATGCTAAGTCGACGCTAATTTAGCATCAAATTACCATCGATTTGTTCCGACGCTAGTTTAGCGTCGATTTAGCATCAGTTCCGTTTTATGTCGATGCTAAATCGACGCTAATTTTGCGTCACTTTAGAGTCGACATTAGACGTATTCGATGCTAATTTGATATAATGCGTTTTTGGCGCATTCTAACCCTTGTTTTGTAGG